CATGTGATCTACACAGATTCATATTCTCTTGGAATTCAGCTGGTTGTATTTGACAGATAATATCTCACATAGGACTCTTAAATCGGTTCCATGAGGTTACAGCGGGACTTTTTAGTACACATTAGTTATAACTCAAACATGTTCAAAACACTGAAATCATTTCTGTACCAATTTTATTTAAGTTTAGTCACATTTTGACTCGACTATATGTGTACATTAGTTCCTGAATTTGTGATAATAAGCCTTGCATGTTCCAATGTGGCTGATGGTTGGTAAGAGGTGTCCTCATAGTGCAGGCACCTTTTGTTCATAATTACTGAAGCAATCAGGCATGTCAAACAACAAAACAAAGAAATTACTGGAGACAGTATCAGTACAAACCTGTGACACAAAGTTAAAACTTTTATTTCTCAATACAATAACATCCTCAATAGTATGTATTTTATAAAATATACAATTTATATTAATTATATATACACACACACACGAAACAAAAATATCAAAACTTGATAAGAAAAAATAAGCATTGGACTTCATAGCACTGCATGAACTACATTTTATGTTAGCACTGAAAAACATTACAGTTAAAGTCCAACTAAATGTGACATACAGCTGCATAACAAAAGTCCATTACATTCATTAATCAGGCTTTATTACTGGCAAACAAGTACATATTTTGGCAGTTATCAGCAACATCAGTGGTGTACAGTGAACAGAATCCTACAACCATGTTAATAAGGAGTATTGCCACCCCTGGACTTGATGACAGCTTTTATTCGTTGGGGCATACTTTGGTATAAGGTTCTGGGGTATCATTTGTCAAAGAGTACCAATGTTTTTTAATCGATTCCCAAAGCTCTGAGCTTGACGTAGGCATGTATGTGGCCACTTTTGGGGGGGTCTTACCGAAATGTCGACCCCTAGGGTTGAGGGTAAAAATCCTTTGATGTGATATGTTGTTTTAGCGTTGCTGTTTCAAGGGATGTTTTCAAGGGTGTCACCCAAACTTGAACTCATGTGCGAAAGGTGATCACCAATTTAAGTATGAGATCTGTTCACTTACTTGAATATTATTTAGTGAGTTCACTCAATGCTACTTATTTAATCAGTTCACTTAATGCCACTAGTATATCCAATCATATCACACATATAAGGCAGCATGACGTACATCATAGCAAATGCACAGCTTGATCACTACTTAGGTCGAGGAAGTGTGGCTCCAGGCCCTTGCAGACATGCCTCCAGACCACAGATGTCTCGAGTTGACAAACAACATCACTACGCAGTAGATCGAAGGCGACCTGCTCTCCTGGAACCATCATGTAACCGACGGTCCCCGCACAAATAACCACTTGGAGGGATGGCACAGCAGGATAAAGAATTACAAATGCTAATTTCGCTCAAATTTGTACATGAAGTGAATAGATACTGTTTAAATGTTATAATTCCATTTACAATTTAGTGCTTCACTGTTCATGAGTGACTAAATGCTGAATCCACTTATTTGTCGTTCCTGTTTTCTGCATAACCCATGTTACAACATTTTAATCCCATTGTAACAAGTCAGTGGTGCGTAGAGACTGTCGGCTCCTCCCTTGCCATTTTGTTTTGACACGCTTTAGAAGGTCGACGATTCGGTAGTGAACCCTTTTTTTACCAATGATATTCCAGAGGGACTCAATTAGGCTCATGTCAGGAGAATTTCCAGACCAGTCAAGCAGTGGTACCCTTGGGTAGCCCAAAAATGTCGTGTGCATTTCGAATTATGTATCTTGCGCAAATACAAATTTCTTTTGAGGGAAAACGAGACATTCACAGTGTTGCTTGATATTATTTATGATTATTTGCTGGTACCTCAAACTGTAAGGGTACCAGGTACCTTTTTCAGGATACCAAGGCCATTAGGTGACATGAGGCGCCACACATGGACTAGGGGTGGGTGATTTAACATGTGCTGAGAGCAGTAATGACGTTTTAGTTGAAAAATGCCAAAATTGCATTCGACGTGTATTAGCGAAGCATCTAAATATTGATTCGTCTGAGAATATGACATGGTTCCAATCCTGCACACCAAAATGCTTATGGGCCTTGGCCCACACAAGACTCTTTTTCCGTTGACGTCTGTGCAAAAATGGTTTCCGGCTTGGTACGTAGCATTTGAGGGCAAATTCATGTAGACCCCATGACACAGACATATGACTGATGCGTCGGCCTAAAATACCTCGGGTCGACCTCTTAAAATGTTCAGTCACAAACCTGTCTCTCAGGCACAATCTTCATATCATTTTGTCTTCACGCCTTGTTGTACATCGGGGCCTGCCAGATCTTTTATGATCAGTTACACTACCAGTTGCCTTGTATTTCTGTTAGAGCTTTATCATACCATGAATGGAAGCAGTACATTTGAATTTTGAAGCCATGATCTGTTGCACATTCTTCCAAGCCATTCCCGACTCTCTGAGGCTAATTTTTTTACCACATTCAACTACTGTCCAATATCGCCATCTAGCCATGCTTTCTGATTAACAGAAGCCTTGAAAACAAGATACTGTAAAACAAGAAAATTTTGCGAGCAGGATATTTTTACCAACTTTGCGCTTGTCCTAACCTCGCAAAAGTTTTAAGACGCAGAAACCGCAACAAATTTATGTGTTTTTTTAAAACTTTATTCCATATTATACCATATTTAAAAACAATGCAGCATACTTAAAACGTATTGTCTCTAAGCACTATCCTTTATTAGAATATTATCAATACTGTCTTCTCAACGATTCACTCAGTCACTGCCTGCAGACAGTTTGTCGAGGAGCCCGGATGCTCGCCAGCCACGCACAATGGTCTGGACACTACCCATCGAGCATGGATCGGCTTCATTACATTAATCCTTATATCAACATGTTTGTCGGTCTTGTCCTTCAAGTTCTTTGTCACGCTGTCAGCGTACCACTGCGTGAACTGAGCTTTCATGGCTGTCTCGCCGGTGCAGCCAGCCGGGACGAACTTGACCTGGAAGTTACGTTGTTTTAACAAGTTGAGGAATAACTCGCATCGGTGCACAGTGAAAACATCAAAGATGACAAGTGATTTCTGGCGTAGTGGCAGTTTGAGTTGTTATTTTTGATGGGTGCCTCTCGTTAAAATAACACGTCGCAGAAACGGATGCGGTATCAAGGTCGCAAAATTTTAAAGGCGGGAAAATTTCTCATTTTACAGTATTCATTATTTAGAACAGAACTCGGTCTTATTTCCATGGAATATTTGGTGTAAAGTGAATCTATGCCTAAATGTTAATGGTTAGGCATGTATTGTTACTATTTCGGAAATTATTCTCGAATTAGATTAGAGCAATTCATAAAACTGTCATTTTGATAACTGAAACTAGTTACTAGTTTCATTGCAGTAATACATTATGATTGTTAACATGGTAAAAGTACAAAATGGCGCTTGAGCCTACTTACTTCCATTCCTGGTACTGCATGGAAAATCCTCTTGAAATGGGTAGGATAGATAAAAACAATGTATGTGTAACTATAATATACATTTTCACTTTATTTCAAATGGCTACATGATGTTTGCGTGTTAGGTGTATCATACCAATACTAATTGATAAGTTTACAACAAACATACCCGAACGATGGAATGATATGTGAAACATTGAGCTTAAATTTGGGAATGTAACAGACTTTTGTTATGCAGCTGTAGAATCAGCAAATTCAGTCAAGGTTTTCACACCGTTTGCAAGTAGAGTCTTCTTACATATGATTTCATCATCGATATATTGGGATAGTTCTGGCCAATTTTGCTAAGTCTTGCATGCCAGCTTTCAACATGATTTGTGGTCCTGGCACCCGCTTGATGGTTGCGGGATAGCCTGCCTTGCAACATCTCCAATGTACACTGGTGTTGCGTCTCTTCCGTATTCTGAGCTTATAACCTTGATAGACAAGGTTACGACCACCTTGCGTATTAGGAATGAACTCTAGAACTCATTAACTCATTTTCCTGTGTAATATATAGCTGTTAACAACATGAGTTTTATTCAGTGACATTAATTGAATAATTGAATAATTGGTGAGTTGACATCAGTCTGACAATATATCAGTTTGGAATCTCTCCTAGGCCCTGAGTTTAGTTCATGAGACGATCCCTTTTCTTATAACAACATCACTAATCCTAATTCTCTAAAGGCTGCCTGCACAGTGAGGATAAACCGTTGGGAATCGTGGTAGGCTACCTTATGATGGTAGGTGTGTATAGGAAGGTGGTCGTTTCCTCAAGTGTTGTCATGATGGACTTGCCATTGGCAGAAAACCAATGTGAGTTTATATACACCATGTGTAAAGCATCACCAGTGCAAACATAATCCATAGATTTGCAATAAAACATATTTGCCTTCCACTGTTTATACAGTCTTTAGTTGTGTTGAACTCCATCACATAATGCTATTTCATGTGCTGACATAGTGCGACACTAAAGTGATGACCATAGAAAACCTGTATATTTTTAGTACTCAAAGAAGCCAGACACAGGGAGTCTTATTTTCTGTAATTAAATGGCTAATTCACTATGCCTAATTTACTAGGCTTTGTTTAACTGAACAGCCTTCACCAGCCTTAATAGATGTACAAACAAAGCAAACTGATTTCACTATCTCTGGTCACTTTTTAGGTCCACATGTACTTCTGATCTGTGCCATGTCAAGATCAGGAAATGCAGTTCATTATTGGTTACAATTCCACTTATTAGTTTCTTTCAATAATATCATAGAATAAAATATTTTTTTATGATAAGAATGGATTGGTGCTATAATTTAAATGTTATATATATATTTAATTCTAGTTACAAAATAATTCACCTTATAGATGGCTCTTATACATTATATGATAATTGATCAATTATCATTATGATATTGGGAAATGGTTACATCCAAATTGCATACAAATCCTTTTGAGAGCTATTAACACATTGGAAATGTGATATGAGAATAATGATGTTGACGATACGGTTAGCTTTAGATGCTGACATTTAATTCTGCCAAAGTCTTCATTTTGAATATATGCTTACTGTTTTTGTTTTACTCTTTAAGACAAAAGAAAATCCATGAAGAACAAGAAAGGGAAAGAAGAAAACAGGAGAGGTTGGAGATAAGAGAGGAAAGGAGAAAAGAAAGAGAAGAACAAAGGCGAGACAGGCACTTGAAAAGAAGACGTTGTGAGGAAGAGGAACGCATGAAACTGAAGATTGACGTGGAGGAACGCAAATTGCTGCTGGCTAAGAGGAAACTAGAGTCACTTCATTTGTTAGCAGAGCTTTTCAACAGGATTAAGGTATGATGTATGTTTAGCTCAAGTAACCAAAAGTCAAATGCTTGTTTGGTTAAGAATAAGAAATGAATTGCTGTATCAGGACAATCAATACAACAAATTGGCTGTATTTTGTAAACATATATAACGACAACCGCATGTTGGTAAAAAATGAATGCTTGAAATGACTTGATGAATGGGTTATTTTAGAGCATTATGTCGTGACACAGATCCCACTCAATGTTACTTACCCAAATCTGTCCTGTCGCCATCCACTGGCTGCGCCTTTGAAATCAACTGTGCAAGAGACTTTGAATAGCATTAATTGGTAATTGGTGCTATCTGTTGGCGAAGTGGTAATGTTCCCCACTACCTTTCATGGTGGATAAACCCTGACAACGTCACACATGGGACTCCAATCAGGATGCCGTTACCAGATCAAAATCTCATGGATGCCTCACTCCCAGGATGGAAGGTCATCTGGAAGACATGACAAAATGAGGTCTTTGGAAGTTAGATTCATCAATCCATATCAACAGCTTGAAGATGAGAGCGGTCTTACTAGCCATCCAGCACTTGGCATTAATCCTGAGGAATTGTCACTACTAGATGTCATGGACAATGACGCAAGTCCTCATGGAACTCACGAGAGAACTTTTGGACCTAGTGGACAGTCTGGATTGCCACATTTTGGCCAGGGAAGATCAACATTTTTGCAGACACGTTATCACGCCTGGACAAAATTGTAACAACAGAGTGGACGCTTCATCCGGATGCCTTCAGGCTGATAGCGATCAAATGGGAACAACCTCACATAGATCTGTTCGCGATATCGCTTAACAATCAGTTGCCGACTTATGCAGTGAATGCTATGTTGATATCTTTGGAGGGAATGATTGCCTATGCCTTTCCACCAAGAGCACACATCCCATAAGTCCTTACCAGGATCAGGAACCTTCACATGACGATGCACCAGCATGGCCAACATGATCATGGTTCCAAGACATACTGTCTCTACTTGTAGACCAGCTGTTACATCTTCCTCAGTGGCCTACACTTCTCAGATTGTCGAAGTCAAACAGGTTCCATCGCAATCTACAACAGCTCCATATACATGTACGTAGAATATCCAGCGACAACTCGCCTCAACAGGAGTTTCAGAAAGAGTTTCCTTAGCTGTTATGCAATCACTCTGAGGTAAAACATCTGCTTTATATGAATTCAAATAGGATCAGTTCCAGTAGTGGAGAATCAGATCAGGAACAGCCAATGGACTTATAACAGTGCTTATGATTGCAGATTTTGTTGTACATCTTTCTTATACAGAAACAATTTACATCTTCTGCATGGAACTATTGAAGGGTATCGCTCAGCATTACCATCTTTTCATTCCCAGCAAGGGATACATATTGTGGAGGATCCTGTTCATACCAGCATGTTACATTCTTTTGAACTAGAGAATATCCCAAAACAATGAATAACTATGAAATGAGATTTGTCAGTTGTTTTATCGGCATTATTACACCATCCATGTAAACTCATGGAAGAAGAAACTCTTTCTGGATGTTAGATGAGTTGCATTCCTGAAAAATCCATCCAGGGTGATCATCAGAGCGTTACCAGAATTCCTTGTGAAGAATCAAAAGTCTGCAATGGGTCTCTTGGACAATGGCTTTTCACTATCCCTTCCCTGGCGTGATCTTTTACACAGGATGGACGGACTTCGTATTGGACACCGCTGACAATGGATTTCAAGTCAGGAACAGCCCAAGAAGGGTTCTATCTAAAAATACAGGGGCAGTGTGGATAAAAAAAACACTTTAAGCTGTCCGATTTCATGTGCAGTCGACTGCCTCTGTGGTGTAGTGGTTAGAGCCTCTGCCTGGAGAGCGGAAGGTCGCGGGTTCGATCCCCGACCGCGTCATACCAAAATACGTTAAAATATGGTACTTGTTGGTCACTGCCTGGCGTTCGGCATTAATGGGTACAACAAGGACTGGTCGGCTCGGAGTCAGTATAATGTGTCTGAGTTGGGTATTCATGCTTCACTGCGGCATGGTATCTCAGCGGGCTAGCACTATAAAACCAGCTTCAGTCTGGGCTAGTACAAGCAGCCGCACATACACAAACACACGCATGCACGTCGCGTCATATGAGCGAAATATTCTCAAGCAAGACGTTAAACCCAATTTCACCTCACCTCATGTGCAGTCACCTACTTATTGGTCAGTCTGTCCAGATTAGATAAGAACCATTCCATCATCCTTAGCATCATGGAAGACAGTCTTAATTGAACAGATCATGTCAGCTTGCCAGTGGGCATCTTCAAACACATCGTACAGCTGTAATTCTGCTGAAACAAATATACACCTTGAAAAAAGTATTGCAACACCTTCCTTTTTCATGAACAATGACATTTCACTGCATAGTATGGGAACAGAATGCTGCCAATTGATGCAAATGGTAATGCATTGTTAAAAGAGTGTGTATTTGAATAAAAAATGACGACATTAATGCCCAGTTGATATTTAGTTCAACGATTTAATTACTGTTACAAATACTGGGGTAAATTGGGGTAAAACGTACACTGGGAAAGTATGGGGTTAGCAAGACAGTACATGGGTTCACACATGTGTAATGAATATCTCATCCTAGGGCACGAAAGAGATTTACCAAAACATGTGATAATGTCAGTATCGAGTGTTTCCACCTCCCGCCAGGACGACCGATTGAAGACGCTCTCTCACAGAGTGCACCAGACGCTGTTTCTGTCTTCGAGGTAGTCTGTTCCGCTACTGGTGGAGAGTAAGTTCCAAGTCTGCAAGATTCTGAACTGGTGGAACCCTCTCATGCACACGGCGTCCTAAAATGTCCCAAACATGCTCAATTGGATTGAGATCTGGACTTCGTGCTGGCCATGGTAACGTTGTGATTGCTTCCTGGCGTAAGAAATCCGTCACTGCCCGACTTCTGTGGGGCCTAGCGTTGTCATCCATGTACACTGGCCTTGTGAGAATAGGGTGATTGTCAAAGTGTGGCACAACAACCCTCTCCAAGATCTCCCTCTGGTATCTTTGGCAAGTAAGATTACCCCTCACAGTGACAAGCTGAAGCTTACAGTCGTAAGACAGACAACCCCACACCATAATCGACCCGCCACCAAATGGAACCTGCTCCAGAATGTTCCTCTGTGCATATGCCGTGTTTCTATGACGCCATACATGTGCTCTGCCATCGACCATGTACAGAAGAAAACGACTTTCATCAGACCAGTGAACCTTTCTCCAGGATGCCAGGTTCCAGCCACGACGTGCTGTACACCAAGCTAAACGTGCGGCTTTGTGTCCATCTGTTAACAGGGGTCGTCTTATTGGTCATCTAGCACGATATCCCACACCTTTCAACCGGTTTCTGACCATCCTGTGGGAAATTGCCGATTGGGCAACCAGTCCCTTTTCAACACCGTACTTGTAGCAAATGGATTACGGTGTACATGTCTCCTCAGAACTGCATCTTCTCTTGCAGATGTGCACCGGGGTCTACTTGAGCGGTGCCTGTCCCTTACATCTGCTGTTTGCTGGTGTTTTCGTACCAACCTACTGATTGTGGAAGGATGATGACCAACTTGGATAGCAATTTGTCTCAAAGACATTCCAGCATTTCTCATGCCAATTATCTGCCATCTTTTAGCATTTGACAACTGAGGGGGACCCATTTCATCAGTTATTGTCTGCTCCAGTGCTTTGGTGTGATGATAACACGTTGTAATGATGAATGGCGCAAACTTGCTTTTCAGAACAACAATAGTCCACGTATTCAACGGGTTGCATCTGCAGCAAATGCAGCGCGAATATCCATTGTGATCATGTAGGGTGAGCCATATACACCAACAATATCATATCTGTAAACCGTGCATCAGTCTGTGTAACAATATTTTATATTTTAGCAATTGATTCTGGTGTTGCGATACTTTTTTCCAGGTGTATATATACTCATGATATAGTCACAGTTGTACCATCTACTCTGCTTTGTGTGTGGAAAGGGTTTTGTTGCTTCTATCTGTCTACATTAAACGTGGACCTGAGGTTGATTGTTGTGATTCTTGAAGTTTCTCTTGTTGCATATAGTTGAGTCTTATGCCTTAAATGGTAGACTATGACTAAGATAGTGTCAACGGGTGTATGTCCAATCGGGGATGTAACTTGGTTTTCATTGAATGGGTGAGATATTAACCAGAAGAGATGTCATCATGACATCATCATTACATACAGTTAACTGAAAGTGTTGTCACCAGTGATGTCATCAGAAGTATTGTTAACTAGAAATTAAATCATAGTCCACTATAATATTAAAATACAGCAGCATGTTCTCGAATGTTGCCGAGATAACCAAATGCTGGTCTATTTGTCTTATCAGTGAATGTCTAGATTTGTGAATTGTATGGTTGTTTTCTTGATCTATTTGGGGGTACACACCAAGCCTGTGTGGGATTCAGTAATTAAGCATCAGAGGGACATATTCATTGGAATTTTGAAGTATTGTCAACAATGAAGTTCCTCCACGCAAACTGCTTGGGAAGACCACTTGGAAAAAGGACAATACAAGATGATGGGTTTTTGATTTTTTTATTCAAGGTAAACCTGTGATTCAGAAACAAGTTTAAGGAAATAAGGCAATCAAGTGTTAAAGGTAGTACTCGAGGAATTATTATCATTGTTGTTAATACATCAAACTTATACTGTTGCAGATAAATATTTTTCAAATATGTTTCAATTTAGCTATTTGACAAACATTTTATGTACAAGTTAGTGTGTTAATTTTCAAAATTATGGATGTTGATATAAGGGGTGATAGATATGTTCTGAGATTTACATGACTTTACCAAAAAGCATTAACATAGTGTTTCAAACCCTTTCAACACTCCCCTGCTCTTCACATTGATGTTGCTTGGATTATATTGCTCAGTTTCATGTAAGTCCTTATCTTGGCCATCAAAATATTTCTTCATTACTGCTGTGACATCTGTTCAAAATAAAATGATTTCCAGCCAGAGCTTTCTTCATGTTGGGGAATAGATGGGATTCTGGATGATGAAGGAGTTGATAAATGAATACTCATGGATTGTGGCCATGGCATTGTCTACATTTTTCTCAGCTGCCCACACCATCTTGTAATTGCCTCAAAAGCACACCATAATATAGTCAGTGGAGATCTAAGACCTCAGAGGCCATAGCGTTTCCAGCATATGAGGCAGTCTTTGCCTTCTTTGATGATAATAGATCATTCATAATCCATTCATTGTACCAAATTCATTGCAACGACCTTTGTCATTCACTTTCATACTAAGTGCTAAATCATCACGAGACATCCTGTGCCTGGTGTCAGCAGTTTCTGGACTTTCTTCATTGCCATAGCCTTTTCTATGATGAAATGTACTCTCCTCTTGAGATATGCCCATGAAGCTCAGTCATATCCCTGTGATATTGCTGTCATATTGCTAATAGCACTCACTAACTTTCTACAGTCAGTATAATATAAAGCCATCATAAACATATGACAGTATATATATAGACTAAAGTACTGTCGGAAATGCTGGAAAAATGCTTTTTGACTTTTATGTAAAATCAGAGATATTACAGTTACTTAAATAACAAATATCACTTTAAGAAACATCTACCTAATGTAGACCAAGGTAATAAAGTTTGAGACATGCCCTAAAATGTGTTTTACATATGAAAATATCAAAAACTTAGAAAAATAAGGGGTAGTGGAACGTTATTTGATACAAACATTAACTGCCTGTGTTATGTCATCAGCATGCACGGTATCGACAGGTGAAATTGACACCTGAGCCCAAGCTCGGGTGAGGGGTCATCTCAATACATCTTTTTCTTCATAATGTTGAATATGTGTACGTATGGTATACGTATTGGTTATGTAAGGGATCATGTGATATCCACATTTCGCACACCAACAACACCTATATATATATATATATGTGTGTGTTTGTGTGTGTGTGTGTGTGTGTTTTGAAATAAACATACGAATTATTGTGCATGAGAAAGAATCCCATCACTTGTGTTATTTTATTGATTGATTGTAGAAATGTACAACGATTTTCATAAATGTTTTGCATGTCATTAGTATATTTCTTTGCAAAAATATGGATGTAATTCGGTCAATGTAATCCAGTTGTGAACATTGGCAAAGATTTAACGAAGTCACTGGTATAGCTTCCCAGTTTTGCTTTTGAGACTGTCCCTGTCTTGTCTGATTTGTTTACAGTATTGTAAGCTTGTTGGTCAGACATACCAACAGCTCTACAAGTTCTGTAATGAACCCTTTCTAAACTAATGACAGGTTTACCTCTGTCTTTCTCAAGCACATAAAACTTATAAACCTTTGCAACAATTGACTGCAAATAGTTGGCCATAGTGAACGCTGTGATAAAGATGTGCATGCATGACGGGAAACGTATTTATTAAGACTTAACATTTATATTAATTTGTCTTTCAATGAAGAAACAATAATTAAGTCAAGTAACACAAACATTCAACATTTTATTTTTTAAGAAAAACGTTAATTTTTATTTTGCACCACATGTATTATTAGCATAAATTTAAAGACTTTTTCAGATTTCTCATGTTAAACTCTGAAAAAATCTTGAGTTGTTGTTTTGGTATCAAATTCTCTCCTGTAAACTGTCCTTTAAATGCATGGAAATGTTAAATCGATTGAAATAAAAATTAGGTACACTATAGGCGAGTTGATATATTAACAACAGAGTACATTTATCACCTTTATCAAAGTATTAAGGTTAAAAAACATTTTTCTAGCATTTCCGACAGTACTTTAGATAATATCCACTACTAGATATACACAATGGTAAAGAACTTGTCTTCCTGTATATGTGTTGACATGACTCCAAAGTTCAGTCATTGCAAGCCTGACAAACTATGTACAATAGATAAAATTAATTTGAGCATTAGGTACTCTATCACATCAAATAATCACAAAAGGAAAATGAATCAAGAGATATCAAGTGGAAACAATCTATGGGTTTGTGCTTGAGGAAGAAGGCCCTGGAAAGGGTGGAGAAGGAAGTAGACTGTAGGCTAGGGTAAATACCAATACATAATTGTTACGTTGCTTTTATTATGTTTGTTTAGTTTACTTAGATATGTTGCAATTTTGTCATTTTATTGTTTCAAACAGATTGTAATAATCTGTATTAAGTATTAGTATAGACGATTAAGTATGACACAAAATGTTCAGATAATTTGGGTTTGTATGGTTTGATGATGTTATCTGCTGAAGGTTAACTGAGCCCTGAGCTCTGCTTTAAAGAAATTTAGAGACATTTGACAAAGGTAAATTAATATAATGCTTTCTTTTATACAGGAGGATAAATTTAAGGAGGATCTCAAGAGGAGGGAAAAAGAAGTTGAATGTGAGAGACAGAGGCAAGTGGAAATGGAACGGAAAAGGAAACTAGAGGAGGAAATGATAAAAGCTGAAGTAAAGAAAAGAAAGCAAGAGGAACTGATGTGTCAAGAAAAGGAATTAAGGGACAAAATACTGAAAAATATTAAAGCCAAAGAAGAAAAGAAACTTGAGCAGGAAAGAGAACTTTTAAGAAAGAAACTGTCAGGAAAACACAAACTGAAGAGTGCTGTTGTCTTAAAAAAGTGACTTGTCCCAACTATGGAGTGATTGTCTTCACAATGGAGCAATTATCAAGGAACTTTCTGCAATGTTTGGTCACTATGTTTCTTATGTAAGGCAATTCCTTCAGAAGTGCTATCTTCTTTTTTGTCATTTTTAATATAGCCCATTTCTGATGTCCCCCGCCATGATATTGCTGGAATATTGCTAAAATTGGCCTAAAACCATACTCATTGTTCATTTAAATATTTCATGTTTTTGGTAACTATATACCCTTTAAATTGTCTAATCTCCTCTGAAAGGCTTAAAGAGGCACTGGTCTGTGTTATACTGTTGAACATTTTTTATTACTATAAAAACCCCAAACACCTTCGGTGGTTCAAGAGCATATTAACAACAATTCATGTGCATCCATCATGGATAGAAAATTGAATACAATAAATAATTCCTTATTCATATATACAATTCTTTACACATAAATAAGTGTATACAATTAATAGATGGATGAATACAAATATGTATTAAAGATTTGCTTGCATTTTTTGTAACTGTATGATAAACTTTGACAAACAAATTTGTGGCTTCAGCCTGGCCAACTTATTCTGCCCTCATTAGTTGGCTTATACAATTAGCTGGCTTATACAACTGAGTGTGACAAGAGAATTGGCTACCATCTTTTAGGACAGTGTAATAATCATTGAGGCAATGTTCATGTACATTTCTGAAAACTACAAGATTACCCATGAAGATTTGGATATGTCAAAACAAAGCAGATAAAAAAGAAGGATGGAAGTCCACCCGATGCCATTATATGGAAATAGGTATAACAACAAATAGTTCATTGTTATGTAATCCAAAGCAATTTTTTCAAAAATCATAGTCATCATGAAAATAGTTGACAGCTGATCAATGACACTTTACACTCATGTCGCACGCCTAAAGAAAATAGGAGTTATAATATTCTGAGACACTGTTTATATTTTGCAATATTTGTACTGTTAAAAAGACACATGACATCAAACCATTTCTTTCTAAAGTGCAGACACATTGTTCCTTTATGTAATGATGGATGCCTTCCCAGAACAAGGTAACGGTCTGTTTTTATATGTGTTACTCTTGTCAATTTTAATATATGGTATCAGCATTTTGTTTTGTTTTCATTTTTTGTAGCATCAAACAGAATCATTCTTTTTTCATTTACATTATCGTTGGGAATTCTTCGATGCAAGACAGACAACACTAAGATGTTCTTTTCACAAGCATTTTTGTTGTAGACGTGTATGTGTAAAATATGATTCACTTGGGCATTTTACAGATTGACTGAAAACTCTGTCCCTTTAGTAAACAGGTTGACTAAATTTTGTTAAGATGTTCCAAAGTACTGAATAAGATCGTAATAGACTAATTATGCTAGGATTAGAAGATCAAAACTTGTTACTTATTTTATGATGCAACACAGAAATTTGCCTGCTTTTCCTTATTTAGACCTTGATGAAACTGTATTTCATCTTTGCTGATCCATGTGCGAGAAACACTCTTGTATTGTCTAATACACTTGCAGTTGGCACAACCTAGGTTACGAACCTGTCAAGATTTCTAGGTCACCAGGTACACATGGGGAAATAATAATAACCTGTCATAGTGAATTGTCCAAGATTAGTGCCCCTTTGTTTTAACCCTGCTCTGATCCTTGTCCTTCACATACCCTTACAAGTATTATGTTTTGAATTCATTTGAAACAACTAGGTTTTGACAGAGTGATTTCCAGACTAATGAAACAGTCATATCATAGGGCATATGTATTTGCCCCAAATCTTTTACATCAGCATTCACATTTATCAGCGATGTTCATGTTGGTGAATGTGATGCATACCTTTAGCTTAAACAATGATTTATTTGTTCCTTTGAGAGGCATTTTAGAAGTTGTGAAGATGAAGGAAAACTGATTTGTATGGATAGTCAACTTCTTTATTGCAATGAGTGCGACGTTTCGGTGTAGGTACTAACACTGTTATCAAGCAAGTGATACAACAACTGAAGCAAGGAGAATATATACATAGCTGTATAGTGAGTATATACATTAACAAGGTTGATGTACATTGGATATTTGATTTATTTGTTGTCATGTCCTGAAGTATATGTTCAGTGATTCAGTGTTACATCAGGGATGACCATGACTTCTTGTATTGAACTAATAAACTCACTGATGGCAGCCTCACGTGAAAAGTAGTGTATGCTGTTGTTACACATGAATATGTACTGCCTGAAAATGACCTCCTCTGTTTCATTTTCTTTTCATCAAAACAACTATATTTGATCATCCCCTGTTCATCAAGTGATGTAATTTCCTTGCTCATTTTACACAGTGGCAAAAGTATTCTTTGTCACCCAACCTTACTCTATTCAAATGTGACGACATTAGGATCTATGTTGAAACGTCGTCTATACAGAATAAAGAAGTTGTATATTCATAAAAATAGTCCTCATTCTACTTCTACCCATCTTCTAGAATGCCAATCAAAGATGTTGTCAACTGTAGACAATGGCTAAAAGAGGATCTTGCAGTAAAATCTCAATTTATCACTTGAAAAAATCTTCCATTATCTGTGTTCATCTGCATGTTGATAATCACATTCATGTATAAGTGTGATTTAGATGATACTTCTTCCTAAGTACTCTATATGGTTACACCCTTGCTTGCATTCTGCATTTTTTGTCCATTACCATGTAATTGATCATCACTGTCAAGTAACAGGGCAAACTTTGAAGTTTAGATTTAGGCTACTGAGAAAACAGCAGGAGCCTGATATTTTACAGTCATGGAAAACACAAGGTTTTGTTCTATAAAGCTGGGAGCCTTTTGACTTAATCCATCTGTTTATGAGCCAGGTTGGTTTGATAGTATAATTGAACTGTTTCGACACTCCTTCAGTGGTCACTAATACTTTGGCCATATGGGATGGTCTGAAGACATTTGAAGGATGGACAGATAGTTGGAATACACCTCTTGAACGCAACTTGCTTCATGGAAGACACAACAGTATGACTTTTCCCGAACCGTCCAACCACGTGCTGTCGACCACATGCAAAAAGAAACCATTTTGACTCACTTGAGTTTGAGAAATTGGGTTGAGTGATTGGGCTGACATCTGGTCATGAACAAAACTGAGAAATTCACATTTAGTTCTCCATTTTTATTACCTAGTTACTTGATCAGTTACCTAAGCGATTTAGTTTCCCCCATACTTCATATTTAGTTAATTTAGTTTTTATTCCACTTTACAAAATCAGGGCTGCACAATACCTCAGATTCTATGGACCATAATGGCTTTCCAACAATATGAAAATACCTTTCATTAATCTGGTGAGCTCATGTAAATGAATATTCCTTTGGCTGAATTTTTCGATTGTTCAAACAAATAAATGACTAGTGAACTGAACATCATACCTCAGCTCATGACTGCTATGTCATAAGTCTATTGGGATGATCACGCATGTATCACAATGGCGAGACAGGACAGATTGATATGCATGATGCCCCTCCAGCACATGTTCCAGACTGCAGTGACCATTGCTCAAACCATTCCTGGACTTAGGCATTTCCACCCCAACACATTACAGGATATTACATGATTCGACCACAATATACAGACATTCAACCTATCCTGAGGCAACGTCATCGAGAAAACAATCAAAAGTCAACCAGAGGTGTGGTGGAGACTGTTGTTTTACAAATGGGTCCAGATTTAACATTACAGGTACTGACACATGTCAACGTGTCTGCAGATGTCTTTGTGAAAGTTATGTTCAAGCCTGTGTCATGGAGAAAATGGGTGGTTCCGTTGAAGATATTGGGTGGGATAAGTGCAAATCAGATAACCCCTTTAGTTATTGTTCATGGCACTTTCACATGTGTGGGCTGCAGAGTTTAGATTCTTGATCTCATGGTTCTTCAACGGAATTGACATTCCAACTTGAAAATGCTATTGTTTTTCTTCAACTGCATTAAGTTCAACTACTGCCATGGCCTGCAAATTCACTTCACCTCTATAGAGCTTGGGATGAAATGGAGCGACATAGAATGCCACGTACCAAATTTGAAAGATAACATTCATGATTTTGTGTCGCAGGGTTGCAGAGAATATGGCAAAACATTCCACAAGTTTGTCATGCCCATTTGATAGACTTTATAGGTAGGCATTGCACAGCTATTTTTGGTGCTCACCGTTGACATATCCATTGTGGAGTTTGTGACATTGTTGCTTGACCCCTGCTCTGCACTTGAACTCGACATGAATGCTATGGGCATTGAAAATGCTGTTCTGCTGTGTTCTTATGATCTCAGTATCCACCTGTTAAAGTTTACATAGAAATGTTTCATTGTTGTTATATTTTCAATTTTAGAAATGATTTTAACAATGGAGAGATTTTTTTGTGGCTTGTATGCATGCATCCATTGTTATTTTAAGCGAAGCAAAACAACCTCTGAATGCATGTCGAAAATCATTTTTACATATTATTAAATCCCTGTTCACTGTGTGTGTATGTTTTCAATAGACCGATCCAGTCTGTAAATCAAAACTGGTGCGTACGTCAATTTGGGCCAATCAGCAGGCTGGGCGCGCTTTGTGGATTTGATTTGCCTTACTTCCAGGGTCAAATGATGCCTGCGAAGTGATGTACTTTGAAATATGCCATTCACACTCGTGATGTCTATTGTGTATTGCTGTGATCTGATGTGTGCCTTTAATAAAAACATTACGATCAAGACAAAAGATTTGAGGTGCATCAAGGAGTGCGATAGACCATGCGATCAGTTAAACGTCGGCACCATCGTCCATGAAACCTACATCTCATAGGTGAGAATTTGCATGAATTTCTGCACTTCAGCATATATGTAAAAACATTACCAATAGATAACAACAAATAGTATTTTAAGACTTTGCAAGTGTTATAAGCACGGACAATGCTTGTAACTACAAAATTGATTTTCCTCAACGTTTTTAGTCAATACACAAGGGCATCAGCGATCTGATTTCTGTTGGAGCCGACCGCAGTAGCATAAATTGTTACATTAAAGAACAATGTGGTTTATATTGTTGCTTTGTCTCTTAGATATTCTTAAATTTGTCACACATGTTAGGATTTTATTATGTTTCAAAATCACAATCTGAAGGCCTGTCTGTTGATTGTGAAAATATTCGATGAGTAATATTTGTTTCAAACCCAAATATAGTCAATGTCAGAAGTTGCCTATCATGCAAAATTAATTCATATGAGTGCCTACAAAACCATGCCTTGAATATTTTAGAATTTCTATGAAGAGATGGGATCTTGTATTGAATTACCTTACTCCATGTGAATCAAAGAGGAAAACCATGTGAAAAGAATAGTGAATTTCTGGAATATTGGACAGAGTGAAATATACTAAATTTTTATTACAAGATAAATTATTCACATGTAGGGAGGTATATTGGCATATTTGTAGTGAAATAACACAACTGCCATTTTAATTAATTTCCAGGAAATGATAGCAAGGTATGTTTTAATAATTTTGTGTCATTTAGTAAACGTGGAAAGGGAATAAAATAAATAATACTCTAATCAAGTTATGAATAATTATTTAATTGATTGACATATAAGATTAATATGCTAAAGCAGAACTAGGCAAACATGACAGAACAATTACTTGGTATGAACTTAGTTTGTTGGATCCTGCTTTAAGACATCTTTGTGTTTCTTTTTAAATACAATATTTACTAAAAAGATAATGCTGAAAGTGATTGCTAGTATCATAACTCATTCAAGTTATTTCAACATCCAGAGAATTTGAAAAACAAAGGGTAAGTTTTGGTCACACCCCGGACAAGCATTATCCAGTCCTTGAACAGAATAAATGACAAAATTCTCAGTTAAATTTTCATATAACTGGAATGAATATGGAATCATATTTAACCAAAATTGTTTTAATTCTTCTTGAAAATCATCAGGAGTTTCCAATATTTGATGACTGAACCAAAGCTAGTGTTTATTAAGGTGTTGAAATGGGACAAATTGTTCGAGGTATGTTGATAGTTATTTGGAATATGAGCTTCATATTTACTTTCATATTGGTTTGCAGGAGGTGATGGCTTCACCACATTT